ATATATATTGGAACTTCTCCCATCAACTTACTCATTTTGCCAGAAATGCATATTCGCTTCCCTACATGTATATAATGAAGATATAAGAGACAGGAGGCTAGGAAATTGCATTTGTAACTTATGAGCAAAGATGACTGATCTTTCTTCCCCGCTCCTCTAAGAAACAAATAATAGAAAGAAAATTGTGGGAAGACTTGTGTTGATGTTTAGGAAGAAAAACAAATCTTTCCAAGTACTTACAATCAAGCTCCATCCAGACTTAAGATTATCAAGGGCTGGCATTATAGCTCAGTGGCCCAGTGCCTGCCTGGCAAGCACAAGGTCCTGAGTTTGATTCCCATTAGCAAAAAATGATTATCAAAAGCAGACGCTGCCACTCAAGTGATAAATGACCGGAGGTGACACATAGGCTTTATCTCAAGTACCAACTCTAATTGTTTGGTCAGGACTGTTCAGAGAGCACTGATTTTTTTTTTTTTTTAACGTTGTAAAAATGACTGTGTGTGATCCCTCATCCCTGCTGTGGGTGCAGGAGGAAGGGAGGTGACACTGATAGCAGGGTGCCCTGCCCTGCAGGGAAAATCCAGGGCTGCTCCAAGGAGGAATGTTTAGTTAGTTTTTCCCTGCACTTCCTGTCACTTGCATGGGAGATGCTGAGTGCCCAGAGGGAGGCTAGCTCTAGTGATCGAGTTTCCAAGTATCATCCTGGCCCTTCCCCCTGGGGACAGGCTCAGTGGCCCAGGTCAGAGTCTGGGCTCCCACAGCCTCCCTGTGTGGATGTCCACCGTTCCTGGAATAGACAAGCATATGTGGTCACCACCTACATGTAGCCATCCACCATCCTCCTGGCATAGTGCGCGGCCTCCTCAAAGGCCTGGAGGTAGGAGAGGACCTCAGAGACCACACTCAGCATCCGCAGTGTGTACAGGTTGGTGTCGGCAAACACGGGCTCCTGCTTCTCCAGGCACTCCCGGCACAGCTTCACAACCTAGGAGGAGACAGCCATTGCAGACACTGCGCCAAGCACAGCACCATACACACATGGGAGCCTCAAGACCCCTGAGCACTCAGTCTTCCAGGACTGGGGACATTCCTGACACGGGTGGGAAAGCGAGGCTTGACATTTGAGTAGCAAAATGATCCCATCTGGCTAAGATACAGGTTTGGCAAAGATAATGAGACATTTATATAACCCAGCAGAGTAAGAAGTTTTCAAAGTCAGTAATTAGTAGGAAGCTATGAAAGTTATATATGCTTGTATGTATGTATATATATATATATATATATATGAATATGCAAATATATGTAAATAAAGATATATATATATATATATATATGCAACTAAAGGTAAGTAGATACTTCACTTCACATTAATGCAATGACTTATGTTTTACTAATATTCCCAGTTTACTTGGGGAGGAAGCTGAGGCCCATCAAGCCTAGAACTTTGCCAAAGATCTCTGATTAAGGATCCAAACCAAGAAATTAGCATCCACCTTGATTCTTATGTTTCTCCAGCTTGACTGTGAAGTAGAACCATCTGGAAAGTGTTCTAGAAACACTGATGTTCAGGCTGTAGCCCAGACCAATAAGAACCAGGTGTCTAGGAGAGAGACGTTGGTGTGCAAGTTGCAGAGCCCGAGGTAGTCCTGCAGCACACCGGGTTGGGCAGCCACGCCCTGTTAATTGTGTTCAGATAGATGGGCGGAGAGAGGCTCCCAGGAAACTGGAAGACCCACCAGGAGTGTGCTGTTTGGTCCTGTGGAGAAATGGATGCCTTTTCCCCATCTGACCCAAGGGGAGACAAAGGCTTTAGTTGTACCCTCCAAAGTCAAACAGTCCCCAGATTTCAGGTATTCATGGTTCTCCTCTTCCTCCCTTGATGCGGTCATGGGAGAAATGCCCTGGGATCCTTCGTGTCTTCAAAGTAATCACACCCTGAGTCTTTCCCAGAGCTCTGGTAGGAATGCGTGCTGTGGCAAAATGTGGGCTCCCAGCAGCCCATTGTGAAGAAAATTCTCTTCCATCCACAGGGACAGTGTCCAGCCTTACTCCTAGTGGCACTGAGTTCAGATGAGATCAAGAAGAAAGGAAGAGGAGCAGAGAAGCCTGGAGGTGGAGCTTATGGAGCCCTCCTTCCCCCGCCCGCTCCTAGCTCATGCCCTCCACAGATTTTCCATAGTATGCAGTAGTACTTTGCTCATGTGGCTGTCTCTCCACTGACAGTACTGCTGGGGAATGTCTCGTACAGGTCACCCAAGCTCATACATGTGCAATGAATGAGTTTGTAAAGGTAGAGGAAGAAAAGAAGGGAAAAGCAAGCAGAAAAGGAAAAAAAATTAATCTCCCTTTTGCCCTGATCTCACAGCACCCAAACGTGGATACACTTCTGAGTCACTAAATTAAGCTTGGAGAAAACATTATTTCCAGGTCTGTGTCCTGGTGCAGATAGGATGAGACATGTTGTACAGGGTGAAACACAGGAATCGGTTTTCACTAAGCTGCCTAGCTTAGTGAAATTCAAAGCAATTTCTCTGCAGGGCAGAGTTTGGGCAGTGGGTCTCAGCTTTGGCTGTACATTGAAATCTTTGAGAGCCTCAAAAATCTTGATGTCTGGGGCCCCTTCCCAGAGATTCTAGTGAAACTGTCATGGGTCAGGGTTTGGGCATCAGGACTTTTCAAAGGTGATTCTGGCATATAGCCAAATGAGAACTCCTAATGCTTGTGGGCCCAAGGATGAATGCTCAGTTGGTACATTCTGGAAACCACAGCACGCCTGCATTCAGTTAGGGGAAAGCGAGCAGCCCACTCCTGGTGTGTCTCAGGGTCCATCTCTGATGCCCCCTGTGCTGTTGCAGATCTTACACTGACCAGGCTGCCTTTGCTCGCCCAGTTTCATTGGACTGAACAGTTACTTCAACATTTAAGGGCAAGGAATGTCACAGTTGCAGTCAGAGGACTTCTTCCTGAAGAACAACCTACCCCGAAGCCTCCCTTTCCTTACCCTATTTCCTTCCTTTACTGGAGAACCTCTTACATCTTCGCCTTCCACTCTGAAAAGTGAATGCTCACCTCGTGATACAAACCCTCAGATCGGGCCTTGTCTATTTTTTCCAGTGTGTCCTTTGAGAATTGTGTCATCTCCTTTACCACTTCTTGAGAGGGCTGGGAAAAAGAGGGACCCTGAGTTAGTGACCCTCTGATGAAGCAACCCATTCTGTCTTTGAGTATCTGCCATCTTTGACATTCAGTGAAGTGCAAGATTATGCTAAATGAGACATACATACTTATTCTGTGTATCACCCCATGCCACCTCCCTATGGACTTGGGCCCACTGACAAGTGGTGAACCTCTTCTCTTTTCTAGCTCCTGGAGAAAACAGCCATAAACACCCAGCAACAGGGCTGTGTATACCTTGGGGTTCTCTTTCACCCCAAGGAAGAGATCGTCCTTCAGCCCTTTCTGGCAGTGCTCACACGTGCAGTCAAAGTAGTACTGCTTCTTCAGCTGTTTCTTGCGTTCTTCACTGACATTGAGGAAGTCAATGTAGGACACTGTCAGTTCCTCTCCTTCTGAGATCTTGCCCAGGGCACGGAGCTCAATCCTGGAACAGGGTGAAAGGACCACAGTTGTCAGGGGAACCCAGGCTTGCAGGCATAGGATTGGTACTTTCCACACTTCAAAGAGTTGAGTCAAAGACAGAAACTTCTACTAGTGCTCTGAGAATATTTCAATTTCCTCAAAACAGGGGACATGTGACCTATGGCACGGTCTTCCAGATCATTCTACTCACTCAGTAGAACAGTCAAATCTGCCTGTTCACTTCTTTGCTCTGCAATCAGGTCACTTGGCGCTGGTAAGATAATAAGCAATTCTTCCTTCACTAATCCCTTCTACAGAGTGCCATATCATAATTTAACTGTGACTCATTGGCCAACAAGGTTGGAATTGCAGGAACTATGTTTCCTATTATGGTAGAGCCAGCTCGAGCAAGATCTTCAAGTATCTCAGATTATTTAGAGAGTTTTCACAACCAAATTGATTGCATATCACTGAAATATGAAAATGTGTGTATGTCTACTTCATTTTACATTGTAGATATTCCTCAACTTACAATGGAGTTAGGACCCAACACCTTACCTAGGGCAAGTTGGAAGCATCATAAGTCAAAATGCACTTAACACACCTAATCTATCAAACACCTTGCTTATTCTCATCTTAATCAGCCTATAGTTCGGCAAAGAATTGTAGCACAAAGCCTAGTGCTAAATATCTCATGTAACTTATTAAATGCTATATTGATGGTGAAAATAGAGTAGTGGCATGGGTTAATTTTTGCAACATCATAAAGTTATATATATATATGACATATATATATATGACATATATATATATGACATATATATATATATGTCAAATTATCATTAGTGGGCCAGGGATATAACTCAGCAGCCAGTGCCTGTCCAGAAAATTCAAGATCCTGAGTTCATTTCCTGGTATCAAAAAAAAAAAAGGAAAAAGAAAAAAGAAAAAAGAAAAAAACAGAATATATATATATATATATATATATATATATATATATGTCTATATATAGTTAGGTACCAACTAGATCTGGAATTGGGGTTGGAGGATGAATACTGGCTAAAATAACAGCTGCAAAAGGATTAAAATGATGAGAGTTGTAGTACCAGCTCTTCCTCCTTAGATACTTCACTTTCCTCTTCCATTCCACAATTCTGTAGTTCAGCTAATTACTGCACAAGTTTATTCAAGCATTTCTTGTGGCAATTAGAAGCAGCAAATGCCACAGAGATTCAGAGCTAAGAGGGTCCCTAAGGATGCTCTTCTATTGTCTCCACCCTACAGATGTGGGCCCAAGCCCAGCAGGTGATGGGAATGATCAAAAGTGAGGTATAGGCTGGGGAGATAGCTCAACAGCATAAGTGCCTGCCTGGAAAGCACAAGGTCCTGAGTTTGATCCCTAGTACCGCACCACACCAACACAGAGGCAGGTGCACCGACCACCCCCTGAGGTCAAGTCCCATGCAGAATTTTGTCCTCAATCTAAAGACCAGTTCAAAAGCTCTCAAGTGAGCCTGAGCGAAAAACCATCTGAAGCCATTTGACTGTCATTAAAAAAAAAAAAAAAAAAAAAAAAAAAGCCAAAAGTAAAATTTAACCTAAACCATAAATTTATCATTGGTTGCAAGTAGTGAGCAGAACACAATGGATAAACATTTATAAAAATATTACAGTTATGGGTGCTATTTCTAGAACCCAGTCTTGGTGATGATTTGGGGTTATAAACACTCAGTCTTTTAGTAGGTCAGTGACACCAACAGTCCTCACTTCACGGGAAGCAGTGTTTAGAGGTACAACAGAGGTTTTGGCTAAGTGGATATGAATGAGAAGGGTTCATGCTTTGATATAGGCAAAGAATGATAAGTGAAGGAGGAGAGGAAGCAACAGCAAGGTGGGGGTAGGTGGGTGAGAAGAAAACGGATAATTTAAATGCATTAAAAATGAGCCATTCAATGAAGATGTGACACTGGCATGCAGAAGGACATTACAGAAAGACAACAGCCAAGGGGACTTGGGGAAGGGTAGACCCAGCAAACCAGGAAAAGTGAGGGGGATGGGTCAGAGGAGCAGAGATGCTTGTAAAGCCTGACCCACCTCATCTGGGTGTGAAACATGGATTTCACTGCCTCATGACTGAAAGACAAAACAGACACCCGAATGAAATCAGTACCATTGGCTGATCAAATACAGATAGCAAGGTGGCATGGCATTCTGGGTTACGTGGCCAAAGCTCTGGCTACCACACAGCCTTTATTCTAACCCTTCAAGCTGGGCTCATACAAAGGACACAGCCTAGAGTAGTGAAAAGCACACTGAATTTGGCATGAGAAGCTCTGGGTTCAAAAGTGCTCAGCCATGGATGAGTAATGTCTATTCCATGGGCCTCGGAATCTCACCTGTCAGCTGGTAATGAGATTGTCAATACATTAAAAGAATAATACTAAGAAACCTATGGGAGGTTTTATAATTGTCCCACTAACAAGCAGTGGAGGTAGAAACACTGCCGTTTTTGATGACTGTCCTGGGAAGAGTTTGAGTTGCATACTGAGGCTGGTTAGATCCCATGGGCAGTATGCAAAAACAGTGAGGGTTAGAACTGGGCCCCACACCACATCCGGGGCTCTTTCCACTATGGTAGCTAGACAGTGACTGCAAAGATATCTTCTCTTGACCAAAAGCCAAGAAGCTCAGGTAAGACATGGCTACTCAAAATTAGTAGATGCCAGGAAGACAGCGCAGACACTAGAATGACTGAAGACATTGTTCCAAGCCAGTTTCCTTAATTGTGATACAAGAGGGGTTCTGGGGCACCATCACTGAGGGAGAACCATCTGGAAAATCAGGTTCCATATACGGCAAAATAATGATGCTCTCTACCAAGTCCTCTGGAAGGCCCTCTGGGAGGTGCAGGCCAGTGACCCAAAGAGGCTTAGGAAAAGAAACACAAATGCTGGGAAAATGTGACCATCTGGGTATAAAATAAACTTCCCCACATTGAGCATCTTTCTCCATTCTTGAGGGCCTGATGTCAGAAACAGGAATGAAGGCCTATGATATACCTCAGAGGCCTGGCAAGCTCAAGGCCCTAAGTTTGAGTCTGAGGAGAGGAGAGGAGAGGAGAGGAGAGGAGAGGAGAGGAGAGAGAAGAGAGAAGAGAGAAGAGAGAAGAGA